TCAATACTGAGCCAACCTATTCAAACCCAACTTTTCAAGGTTTTAGACCATCTCCAAGAAGCTATCTATTGTTAAAGGACATATTTTACAATTTAGAAAGTATCTATAAATTTAATACTCCAATAAACTCTTTATATTTAATAATTAATTTTACTGTTTCTAAAAAATATTTATTATTTTTCTATCTTTTGTTTTTACTAGCTTTTCTCTAAGTTATTATATTATTTTCCTCTATTGAAAATTGAAATAGTTTGAACGTATATAATTGAGAGCCAAACTCACTCTCTAAATTAAAATGTTAATTTAAAGATTCTCTTGGAGCATAATTTTAAGTTTCGACTCTCTAAAACAGAGAGCATTTTTCAATTTTTTTTTTTTTTTTTTTGAGATGCTTTTACTCCATACTTTCACAATCGAGGTGATGCATACGAAGGTGAAATTTCTGATTGCATAACCATATGAATACGATGATTTTCTTTCTAATTTTTCTACTCAAAAGTTAAAATTTATATACAATAATCAACTATTACAATCAAATACTAATAATAAAAAAAAAAACAAAACAAAACAAAAGTCATTAACGAAAACAGAAAACTATGAAAAGCCATGTTAATGACTATTAGAAGCTTTGAAGTAACAACTCCACCGAGCGACGCTTATGAAGTCACTTGAGCGTTAGAAAAATTAGTCAATAAAAAAATGGAAACTACCTTGCAATGATAACAAAAACACATTAATTTTCTTAAAATAATAAAATATCTCGTTTAAAAACAATTATGGATTAGGAAATTAACTCATCCTTAACCAAGTCAATGAAGTCATCAGCATCCTCCAACAACTGAGAGGTGACAATGCGTCGAGTCGGCTAAGTTCTTAAATATTCGAGCTGGGCTAGTGTCCAAAATAGTAGCTCGGTTCAGCCTCTTAGCTTTTGGGCCTCGTGGGATGAGACGAACAGCCATCATTTATTTTTTACAAAAATTAATTTTTTATGTCCTCCTCAATTTTTGAGTTTGGAAACACCTATTTTTGACGTAGCAGGAGTTCTCATCTAAAATACCAAGTACCCAACTAATTCTAAAAGTATTGTACTTGTACTTATATTTGCACCTTGGATAAGGAAAGAAGTATTAGAATGTTGAGTAACTTTACAACTAGCTAACCCTCGCTCCAGGAGGCCGTCGAACATTCCTATTAGGGGTGGACGTGGATCGGTTCGGTTCGGTTTATTTCGGTTCCAGAAATTTTCGGGTATTTAGTAAATGGAACCGTCGGTTCCAAATATAATTTTGGAACCGTTCGGGTTCGGTTCGGTTCGGTTCCGTTCCATTCGGTTTCGTATTATAATTAAATTTTTTAACATTTAAAATAATACTACATAAATACACACCTGAAAGTAGATACTAATATTAATAACAAAAAGTAGATATAAATACCAAATTCAATCTTAACTTTTACAAATTAACGTAACCTAATTTAATAACATATAAATAATAAGTTGTCAAATACAAATACGAAAAAGTAAATATTACTAACAAAACTTTGATAATTCATATCAATAATTCATTTGTTTCAA